CAGAACACAGTGCCGTTGAAGACCACGATGAGGAAGAACCTCACGAACGCCAACTTTCAAGAGGATGGCAGAAGCGTTCAAAATGATCCAGCAAGGTATGCAAATCCTTATAGATGACAACCCAAGCAGAGATCGTAGCTGAAAGATTCAACACAACATTGATGACAGTCTTGGTTGTTACATGGAGATGTATAAGGAAAACAAGAGGAGTAGCACCAAGAGGTCAACACTGGATTCATTATTTTTGTCGCCGGCAGCCGAGGAGGAGCACACAGCAGTCGAGGAGGAGCAAACCACAATGGAGGTGGAGCAAACAACAATGGAGGAGGAGCAAACAGTGGCGGAGGAACCCCAGTCAGAGCAGGAGGAGAGGCAGCCGCAGTCTCAGTGATTCACCACCCTCTTCCTCCGCTCCTGCCTCCTTCGCTTCACTACCCACCACACATTCACTCTACCACCTCCTCCCATCGGTGAGTCCCAATACAAACTTAGTACTGTAGTTGCATATGTGTGCATTATTTTTTATAGAAATGGCCATGATTTTCTGTATATGTAATGGATTTCATGGGGCAAAGGGAGGCTCAGGAATGTAACTCCCCTATTTTATCTATTTATTATGGGGAAAATTAATTCGCTTAACTTTGTTTCGTATAATGTCGCGTTTTCAGGAAAGTGACCCTGACGTTAAGCGAGGACTTACTGTATGTGCTTTGTATACGAAGAAATAAATTAAAGTACCCCCTGTATTTACCATAATTATGGCACCGTTGAATCTCCAGTCACGACCATGTTTTGGTTCACATCATCTGCTATACGGGAGCATCCTCGGTCTTTGTTTACAAGTCACGAAATAAACGACAATCCCATCGGGCGTGTTTATCATGATTCATATTGGATTGAGCTGGTTCATTTTTTTCTGGAGATATTGTTTGGATGATATGAAAATTGAAACAAAAATGCACTAGTTACAAAGTTAGGTGAGGTTAGGTTGGTTAGGTCAGGTTCTTATAGGTTCTGTGCATTGTTGTTTCGATTTTCTTATTTGCATCACCCAAGCAACATCTCCAGAAAATTTAGTGCAATTCCATAAAGTCCTTCTGGCACTAAATGTCTCCTCCAACATTACCAAAATGAAAATGGAACCTTCAAAGCCAATGATACATTTGCACTAAACTGATAACATTTCCAAAGTAACAGATAATGTACTGCCACATTTCAATATCGCTCATGGATGGATGGAAGTTGCCAGTGTCTCCTCATGAGAACCAAGATGAAAATACTGTATTATGAAAGTATTGTGCCACAAAACGTTTTCCTCGAGCTCTTTTCGTATTTTCTCAAGGTAAGAAAGCTCTTTATCTTCTATGGAGAAGGCGCAAGTTGGTGCCAAGGCCATGCCAGTCGCTATGAATTAGCAAATTAAATAGTTTAATTATCTGGAACTCATAAAGGTAAATAGTACAGCACAGTATTTGGTTTAGCACATGGAATTCAAAATGAAAATACGTTTGCCTTATATGGAATTTAATAATTACCCTATTCTGAATCGATTTTCTTCTTTAGTACTTCTTGTGCAAATTGATAACAACAGAGATATAAGAAGTATTTGGAGAAAAATAGACAAATTATCATTGCAATTATCATATTTGCCAACAAGACATGATACTGACAGCTTCTGTCCTCTTGTTCCACCTAAGTACAACCCTGATATCAACTCCACTGTAAAATGTGTATATACAGTACAATACTATACTCTAATATAAATGTAAAAAAATAAATAACAAAGTGATATCCTTGGTAACATTCTGATATGCTCTTACTACCACCATGTTACTTGTACAGTACTATTCCAGATGATACTAAATGTTACATAATACTTCCTTGAGATAAATGTACAGTATATATCAAGTGCCCTCAAGAGAGATCAGGCTCTCAACTGGCTCAGCCATGTTAATATTATTATTATTATTATCCACTCTGTATCTGTATTTTCCTGGCTAAATAAACTGTTTCAATATCAAAGATTAAAACGAGTCTGTCGACAAAATCCCCATGTATTAATTATGATGTACAGTAACCCTCACCAACCATGATATGATGGCAGGGCTAGGAACACTACATTAAATTAAGGTAGGTTAGGTTAGGTTTTTAGGTTCAATAGTGTCCGCATGCCCTCGTTTACCCCACGACTTCCCTCTAATACAAACCCTGCCTACTTTTGTGGACTTCAAGAAATACCATAGCAGAAAATCAATTCAGAATTAAATTCGGTCAATATTCAGAAAGTGTTATCAGGGAACTGAGCATTATAAATACGGTCTTCTAGTGTAACTCGACGTGTTAAATACAAATATAACATTCATTGCCGTCGGAAATCAGGCATAGTGAAGATACTGAAAAAAAAAGTGGTAGGTCAAACAAAGTAAAAACCTAAAAAAAATAAATAAAAACCTTACCTAACCTACCTAACCCCTAGTGCATAAGAAACTTGCCTTAAATACTGTAAGCGATACAGGAGGATAAAGTGATGCGACTTGAATGAGGAAGTGGCCGTCAGTGTCCATCTCTTATCACAGTACCATGTACTGTATGGTGATCTACAGTATTGACACTGAATTACATCTCAGACACTTTAAAGATAAAAAAAAAAAACACAGTGAGCCCTAAAAATGACAATGGCTGCTGCTTCATTGTCCAAAATGCACTGAATAATGCAGCAGCCAGCCAATGTACATCCATCTCACACAGATGTCATCTTCTAATTGGCTGCAAACACTGATTAGAGCACGGGTATTACATCACACTAGCACTGGCGCTGATTGACGCGCATGACTATGACGTCTCATCAACACTCACGCTGATTGGCCAAATATTACACTTCTTTTGTTTTTTTTACTTTTACTCGAAAATTACCGGTATACATTTCGGACGGAAGCGTTATAGAATAAATTATTTTTATTTATTTTTCTCTACCTCCCCATATGACTCAATACTCAGGTCCCGAGTGACACTTTCTCAATGTTGACCTTAAATTCTAAGTAAGAAACTATGGAAACTATTTTCATCGTAAAGTCTATGTCATGTGCTAAACCAAATAATTATCCTCATAAAAAAGTGGGGTTAATTTAGGATAGTAGCCAGGTTAGGTTAGCACCAAAAATGGTCAGATTCATTCAAATCACAAGAACCATAAGAAAAACATATTTTTTATACACAAATCAAAATCTGGCTACTATCATAAATTGACCCACTGGCGATTTAGGATAGTAGCCAGGTTTCAGTTAAGTTAGGTTAGGGATGTTAACGTCACGCGGCCAATCAAAAGCGTTTTTTTTTTGCAACCAATTAAAATGATTTTGGGCTTAATTTGCGGTATTTTTGGCCCAATCAAATTTTATTTTTATTTTGGGTCTCATATTTCGAAATGGGCTGGACTAGCCATGGTTGTCGACGCCACCCGATGACAGGGCCATTTGTCGCACCCAGGGTTTTACCAGGGCCCTCACTCCTCACCCTAATAATATGCCACTCTTCTTGCTACTTTCGTCTACTTTCTTTGCGAACTATCTCCAAAATTTGACAACTTATGACTCTTTTTCACACCGTAATTATTTGTAATTTTACACTCCCTGTGATTCATCTCCGGAAATATACTCAAAGAAAACGATACTTACTTCACAAATCTATGACATTAAATTCAAATTCATTTCCGACCATGGAAATCTGCGATGGACGTCACTTAAATTATATGGAGCTCATTGCGAGTTTTGGGGAAAAAAACGAAGAAACTATAGCATTTTTTCGATCACATGGTGTTCTTCCAACCTCAGTAAAGTGTCCTAAGTGCAAGACTGAATGTAAATATCGCAAAGAACAACATATGTGGCGTTGGAAGAAGCTGCCCGCCTATACCCCCCCCGTTAAGTGAGAATCAACGTCAGCAACCAGGCCAATAAGGTAAGAAATAGGCAATTCCATCATATGGTGAATCAGTTTGGTTTTTGGTTTTCTATTTTTTTTTATTCGCTTAGCCATTATTTTTTTCGGAAAACGTCCAGCGAAAAAAATTGATAAAAAAACCCGGCTAATTTCCCCCAGAAATGAAGGTCATATTCGGTCTAAACACACACGAATACACTAGAAAAATATATTTTTGACTTTCTAACAGAGTGTGGTGTGCAAGTGCAAATTTACCAAAAAAAAATTTTTTTAAATCGAAACCTGGCTACTATCATAAAATTACCAAAATTGGCACCACTAAATCTGTTTGATCCATATTCCATGCTCCCAAAGGTAACTGAATGTAGTGCATTATCACAATACAACTAAAATTTCCCTATGAATCATTGATACTCATTGGTGTTTTTTGCTTAATAAATCTATTATTAGAATTAATTTTGTATCCTCTGCTTTATACCATTCACTTATTTTGTTTTAATGTGTACAGGTAGTATTTTTTTAAATAAATTACACAGGTTAAAGAGATATGGTTCAAAAGCCACAAGATAGGATAGGTCACATGCACCCTAGGTCTGTCACACCCCAAAACATCATAATAAATACTACATCTAAAACACTTCCTCTTTTACTAGTACCCGCAATAATCACAATAACGATAGAAGTATTGAACGTGCCTCCCGTAAACCTAACCTGAACCTGATATACCAGGGAAAAATGGGCTGGGCTAGCCACGGTTGTCGACGCCACCCGATGACAGGGCCATTTGTCGCACCCAGGGCTTTACCAGGGCCCTCACTCCTCACCCTAATAATATGCCACTCTTCTTGCTACTTTCGTCTACTTTCTTTGCGAACTATCTCCAAAATTTGACAACTTAAGACTCTTTTTCACACCGTAATTATTTGTACTTTTACACTCCCCGTGATTCATCCCCGTAAATATACTCAAAGAAAACGATACTTATTTCACAAATCTATGACATTAAATTACGAAAATATTATTTACCCGTTTCAGTGTACTTAGCTATGGTTGTTAGTTACCTGTAAGGGTAAATTGAACGTCACAGATCCCCCATTAAAGGGAGAAATTGGAGGATATGTTGGACTCCACAAACACTGAGGCCCACACAACCCTCGGTGATGACGTCACTGACAGCTGCTGACGCCATCTGTTGGCGACTCACGCCATCCACCGCCGCCAACATTAAATACTGTGCATGTAAAACTCCAACCCATTCACTTACCAAATGACCTTGGAGCACAATTTACATAAAGCGAAATAACGCTCTTCACTGTAACATCTATTCCGTTATATAAAACTCACTACAACAGTATTAGCTACACTGAACTTCACCAGTGGCCCGCATGTCCCACGGCCCTTAGGGCTGAGTTGGTGCCCCCAAGAACTATGTTAACATCCCAGGAAAAGATTATTGCACCGTTTTACCGCTACGCAAAGTCAAAATTAGAAAAGGTGAGTGGGCGAATCGGACCTGTCGAAGCTTGAAAATGTTAGTTATACAGATTCTGATCAAGACAAGGACTTCAATTCTGGTCACCGTATTACAGAATGGATATAGAATACTTGGAAAGAATTCAGAGGAGAATGACAAGACTAATCCCGGGCATTAGGAACCTTGAGTACGGAGACAGGTTAAAGCATCTTAATTTGCACTCCCTCGAGAGACGTAGAGTGAGGGGCGACATGATCGAGTTGTATAAATGGAAGTCAGGGCTAAACAAAGGGGACATTACAATGGTACTCAAACTTTCCAACCAGGAGCGAACTCGTAACAATGGTTTTAAATTAGACAAATTTAGATTTAGGCGCGAAATAGGTAAACATTGGTTTGGAAATAGAGTAGTGGACGACTGGAACAAGTTACCAAATATCATCATTAACTCAAGCACGCTGGATAGCTTAAAACTTAGGTTGGGTGGATATATGAGCAATAGGGGTTGGGTGTAAATGGGACTGCCCACTATGGGCCAATAGGCCCGCTGCAGTTTCCTCCATTCTTGTGTTCTTGTGTTTTCTGGACTTGCAGCTTCTTCAACCTTGAGCTGTGACCCCTTGTGGGGCGGGTGTCCGCCAGCTCCAGGTAAGGACACTCGACTGAGTAGTGCCCTTTAAGATGCTTGTACACCTCAATTACATCTTCCCTTGCCCGTCTGTAGTAGAAGCTAAACAATTTCAGGGGCTCTAATATCTCAGGGTAGCCGAGATGCCGCAGTGCAGGCACCAGTCTGGTGGCCCTCCTATGGACATTTTTAATCAACTGACAGTGCCTAGTGTATATCGGGGACCAGACGGGGTAACAGTACTCCAGACGGGGAAGCATTTCACTGTTGAAGATCGTTACGAGGGACTTGAGAGTATTATCAGAGATGCCGCGATGGAACATCTACTACGAAGCAACCTTGTAAAGGGTTGCCAACACGGTTTTATCCCGGGGCGCTCCTGCTTAACACAATTGCTCAAGGTATTGGATATTTGGACCCATATTCTGGAACGGGGTGGTAATATCGACAATATTTACCTAGATTTTTTCAAGGCTTTCGACAGTGTACCCCATGAAAGGCTGAAAATCAAACCGGAAGGGTACGGAATTCGGGGAAATGACCTAGCGTGGATATAAGACTTTATACATGACCGCAAGCAGTGTGTGGTGATTAATGGCACGAAATCATCATCCGTACCTGGCACAAGAGGGATACTGTAGTGGATTTCTCCCCTACAAACGCTGTTTGTCGCTGAGTAGCCGACCCCACCAATTCCCCAGTGTATGCCTCATGGTCTAGGTCAACCAGCGCCGCCATACATCACAGAGCGGGGGTCAACTACTAAGTCACGCCTACCCCCCCCGCTATTTAAGACCTGACCTCGTGGTGACCTGTCTCTTTCTACCTACACCAACCAGCCAGCAACACCTCCTCCTCCTCCGCCTGCCTGCCGGTCCTCGCTCCCGCCGGCGAGCATGGCGACCCACAAGCTGGTCCTCCTCTGAGTATCCTCACCAACCAGCTCTCTCTACATCACGCTTGTAACCATGCTGCCTTCCCAGCACCAAGCTGCATTGTACATCCAATACAACATGTATACACGAGAGCACATTGTGAGTTTCCTTTCTCCACCCCATCCTGAGTGTGAACCAAACATCCCAAAAACCCCACAATACCACAGGGCCGTGTATTGGGCCTGCTGTTGTTTGTTTGTTTCATAAATGACAAGCCTGACGTTGTACACTCCTCCATACAAATGTTTGCCGATGACGCCAAGTTATTTCTGGAAATCAAGAACTAAGCGGACTGTGAAGAGCTGCAGAAGGACCTCTGTGGGCTCCAAGAATGATCGAAAAAATGGCTGCTGAGATTCAATGTCACGAAGTGTAAGAGGATGAACCTGGGGCATACCAGCGTGTATGTTGATAATGAGCTGAAGTTCTCGGGCCATTGCGAGAAGAAGGTAAATCAGGCAAATAGATTATTGGGTCTTATAAGAACGTCGTTCAGATATCTAGATGGTCCGTCCCTCGTAACGATCTTCAAGAGTGAAGTGCTTCCCCTTCTGGAGTACTGTCACCCCGTCTGGTCCCAGAGATATGCTAGGGACTGTCAGTTGGTTGAAAATGTTCAAAGGAGGGCCACCAGACTGGTGCCTGCCCTTCGGTACCACAGCTACCCTAAGAGATTGGAGCGCCTGATCTTACCTAGCTTATACTACAGACGGGGAAGGGGCGACCTAATTGAGGGGTATAAGCATCTCAAAGGACACTACTCAGTCGAGTGTCCTTACTTAGAGATGGCAGACGCTCACCCCACAAGGTTTCACAGCTCAAGATTGAAGAAGTCCCAAGTCCAGAAACCTGTGAGGGGGAAACTTTTTCGGAGTGAGAGTTGTGAACTCTTGGAACAATCTACCAGAAAGTGTTGTGACGGCACCGAGTGTGAGCTCTTTCAAGACCAGACTTGACCAACACTGGAGCAGGTTAAGGTACATTCAGGAGCCAGTGCATGCCCAGTACTTGCCAACTCCTGCAGGACTTGAAGCAGAAGAGGGAGGAGTCAAGGAAGAACGGGGACGGGTGTACATGGGTTCTACTCAGGGGAGGGTAGTGAAAGCAAGTGTGCCGACACAGGGCCAGAGGGCAGCGGCGCATCCTCCACCCGGGAGGCGGCACCAGCTCCGCCTACCGGACAGGAGGCGAGCGCTGTATAAACAATGACATTTCTAACCACACCCTGCAAAATACAGTGTACTTCGCAAATGCTGCAGCTTCTGAGAATGGGGGGGGGGGTTACTACTAAGAGCAGAGACGTTACCGAGAAAAAATTCTGGCTTGAATTTCATGTACACTAATACTGACACGTTTCTCGAAAAGAGGGAGGAGTTTGAAACACTACTATGAGTACACCAACCAGATATCGTAGGAGTTGTAGAACTGTTGTACAAGAACAGGAGAATCGACTCAGAGGAATGTGAGTTCAGTATTGCTGGATATGACTCATTTACGAACCTTTCTCAAGAAACTTGCAAGAGGGGTGTGGTTATCTATGCTAGGCAAGACCTTAGAGCCAGCCAGACGAGGGTACAGGTGTAAGGGCGCGTGTTTTCCAACACCTACACCACCCTTAGCTTACTTACTTCTCTTGTCTTAGTTCTTACTCTTACTCATTTCTGTCACATATTCTTGGTAGCATGGACATTCTTTTGGTAGCATGGTCGAGGGTCTAGGCACATGGGTAAGGTAATTCTGGTATCAAGTCACTTGGATGGAAATAAAGGTAATATACTGTGGGATAAATGAATACTCCTAAAATACTCTAAAAACAAATTTATTAATATGAAATCAAAGGGAAAAAGAGATAGTATCAGTATATAACTACCAGGCTCACCTCCTGGGCTTATTGCAGACTCAGTACTTTCTTCTTTACTTATATCCTTATTTACTTATTTTCTTATTTCTTTACTCAACAGTAATTACTCAGATCTTACACTCTTATTGCACACAACCTTACTGGTGTTACATTACATAAATAGCAGGACCAGTTCCTTGGCCCTACTCACAATGTTGCCGCCACAGTAAGATAAACTAGAAGAGAGAGAGAGAAAGAGAGGGATAACCACAATAAGATAAACTATGCGAGAGAGAGAGAGGGTGAGATAAGAGATATAGTGTTGACAACGAATTTGCTGACGAATCTGCTGAGGTGTTTCAATGCGAAACATATGGCCCCCGCCTTCGGGCTGTGAGTGCCCTCAAGGGTAGTCTACTGATTTCTACAGGACAGACAACACGTTGGTTCAGACCACTAGACCCTAAAACGTGAGTGATCGTGAAGTATTAGAATCTTATAAGAAACTCTAAATAACTTTAATAAGTATATTTATGCTCTGTAATTTGATCATATTATACAAATTGTCTCCTGTATCAACAGTTATAACATGTGAGTTATATTTAAGATGTTAACAGGCTATGTACTGTATATTGATTGTATTATTCATACTATGTGTCCTGAGATAACAGCATTTGTTATATGAGAATTGTTCTTTGACAGGTTTTGACCAAATTATATGGTACGAGTCAACGTTGAGGGTTTATTTCTCCAGCAACAAACCAATAACGCTCCTATGAGCGTTAACACACAATACATAGTACATGGCCACTTGTAGATTACTTTACTCAGCATCCACGTTAATACTGAACCAGCCGATACATGGGTCCACTACTAAACATGGGATAATTATTTTCACTGATTATCCCTAACATACATGTTACAACACTCTCTGTGGACATATACTTCCAGGGTGCGTCCCAGGGTGGACACTGAGATTCACGACCGTTGTTATGGTCGGTGGTAGCCAGACACATGGCGAGTCTGGGGTCGGCACTAAGAGGCAGTGGAGCAGATTAATCAGGCCGCATCGATGCCATCATTTCATATATTGATCCCTGCTGGGTATCTAGTACATCCGGGGCAGTTGTTGAATGATCCAAGAGTCACAATTGGATCTGGAGAAACGTTGGAGAGCGCCAGGGGACGGACTGGGAAGCATGACAACACAACAAATCTCTGGTCTAGACAACAGACGTATTTACGTTATATTACTTCTTACACTGGGTGAATGACAATTC